CAGGACTGCGATTTTTCGATAAGAATTTAGCAAAATCGCTTTCAGTAATCAAACATTTTTCCTAGATTTTAAGCAGAATTATTGAAAGCTGCCTTTTCTCTCATTCCCTTTTTTTGTCTTTTAACAAGGCTAATGGCTTGTGCATAAAGTAGTAGTGCTTTACGCAGAACTATGAGGAAACGATAGGAAAGGATACAAACCTTGAAGCATGGCGAGGAATCGGACAACCCAATAAGGCGTCCAGCAGACAAAATAAAACGCAACCACTAGAACGGATGACTTGACAACTCGAGTTAACGAGATTCGGGTTCGAGGACGACGACGACGACTACTGTTCGGGATAGCAGAGATGCCCGCGGATGCGAAATTCTTCCGCGTATGACGATAGAGTCGACTAAGGATTGCCAAATACACGGAGCAAATGATCAGCAATGGTGCTGCATAGCAGAACACTAACTGAAGCAAATCGAACAGTCGAGACATTCCGACAACGCATTTCGGATGTAGTTTATGTTTCGCATCCAGCATCCCGTTCACTTCACTGTGCCAGATCACCGGAACAATAAAAAATAGCGAATAAATAAAACAGAGTAACAGAATAAAGCACGCGAATTTTGCTTGTCGCATCCAAACAAGCATCGGAAGGCACACCGCCATGTAGCGATCCAGACTTAGCGCCGTGAGTAGCAGTGGCGAGAGCGATTTGTTTGCTCCTTCACAAAAAAACATTAATTTACAAAGCACAAGCCCAAAAGGCCATCTATTCCGGAATATATCGACAACTAGAAACGGTACTGGCAGAATGGATATTAAATCAACAACTGATAATATTAATAAGTAGACGGTCGCTGAACTCTGCACTGCTGCTTTTTGACTTCGTTTTTGTCCTCTTCCTTTAAGTCTAAATGTGGAGTAGTGGTAGTGACGACGACTGCAAATCTGGTCCATAACCACCACAATAACCCAAACGTTCCCGGGCAACGCTATTACAGCCAACATCGAATAAAGCAGTGCCAACCAATATTCCATCGAAATCGGCTCCATTTTTCACCTTTTTTAACCCACAACGTAGCTTAATTGTCAGCTTCATATAAATTTTTGCAGTAGCTCTTCAGCAACATTTGGTTTCTGAATTAGCTATTGTGGAATCTTCTGTCGGTAAATTTCCAAGTTTCTGGATTCCAAAGATTCGAACTTCTCCAATTTCCCAAACATGCACAATCTCAAACATTCCGAATTCTCAGAAATATCTGCTTCTGATTTCCTGACAACAGCTGATGAAACCGCGGACCCAAAATCATGAAATAACCAAATGCCAAAATGATAGATGAAGCTGAAAAGCCGCATATATTCCATGATCAAAAACCAGTAATCTAACAGCAGCGCTAATGTTGCAGTTATTAAAAGAAAATGAAATTTGGCGAGGTGACATCAAAAATACAAATTAAGAGCCAGCTAATAAATACGGTAAATGGTAAGTGGAAAAAGAAAAACTTCGAAAAGTCAAGAAAAGTAAAAACCCAGGCTGGAACGCACCAGGCGAGCCGGTGCGATCATGTGTTTTTGCATCAAACTTTGAGG